TTGCATTTCCCTAATGGCTAATGAGGTTGAGCATTTCTTTAAGTGCTTCTCTGCCATTCGATATTCCTCTACAGAGAATTCTCTGTTTAGCTCTGTTCCCCATTTCTTAATTGGATTACTTGGTTTGCTGCTTTTCAGCTTGTTTAGTTCTTTATATATACTGGATATGAGTCCTCTGTCAGATAAAGGGTGGGTGAAGATTCTTTCCCAATCTGTAGGCAGTCGCTTTGTTTTGATGACAGTGTCCTTTGCCTTACAGAAGCTTTTCAGTTTCATGAGGTCCCATTTATTGATTGTTGCTCTTAGAGCCTCTGCTGTTGGTGTTCTGTTCAGGAAGTTTTCTCCTGTACCAACGAGTAGGACAAACCCACTAAAATCTGTGCATCTAAAGAAACTAAGCAAGAGAGAAGACCCTAACTAAAACGCTCAATCCTCATCCTGAAAGGCAAAGAGGATGGACAACAGAAGAAGAAGAAAACAGGAAACAACCTAGGAACCTGCTACAGAGGGCCTCTGAAAGCCAGAAGAAGAAAACAGGAAACAAACTAGGAACCTGTCACAGATGGCCTCTGAAAGCCTCTGCCCTGCAGACTATCAAAGCAGATGCTGAGCCTGATGGCCAACTGTCGGGCAGAGTGAATGGAATTTTATGTAAGAAGTAGGAAATAGTAAGAGCTGGAGAGGACAGGAACTCCACAAGGAGAGCAACAGAACAAGAAAATTTGAACACAGGGAACTTCCCAGAGACTCATACTCCAACCAAGTACCATGCATGGAGATAACCTAGAACCCCTGCACAGATGTAGGCTATGGCAGTTCAGTGTCCAAGTGGGTTACATAGTAATGGGAAGAGGGACTGCCTCTGACATAATCTGATTGGCTTGCTCTTTAATCACCTCCCCCTGAGGGGGGAGCAGCCTTACCAGGCCACAGAAGGACAATGCAGCCACTTTTGATGAGAACAGATAGACTAAGATCAGAAAGAAGGAGAGGAGAACCTCCCCTATCAGTGGACTTGGGGAGGGGCATGCATGCAGAAAGGGGAGGGAGGGTGGGATCGGGAGGGGAAGAGGGAGGGGCTTATGGGGGGATACATGAATAAAGTGTAATTGAATAAATGAATAAAGTGTAATCAATAAAAAAAAGTTAAAAAATAGAGATGCAGAATTTCTTAACAATTTGCAAGCTAAGAACACACAAAAAAAATTACCTACCATACTCAAGTTGGCTTGTTTATTGCTGTCAGTACTGCACAATGGTACAGCCCATATTGATGTCAGTGTCCTCAAGAAGATGAAAATTAACCTACCACAAGATCCAGCTACACCACTTCTGGGAATAAACCCAAGGACTCTACATCCCACACAAGATCCAGCTACACCACTTCTGGAAATAAACCCAAGGACTCTACACCCTACTCCAAGATACTAGCCCAGCCATGCTCACTTTTGCTCTATTCATAATAGCCATACACTAGGGAAAGTCTAGATGACCATCACTAATGACTGGATGATTCAAATGTGGTAGATTTACACAATGGAATATTATGTAGCTGTTAAGGAAAATGGAAATAGCCTGTAAATGGATGAACTAGAAACAATTATCCTGAGTGAGGTAATTGGGACACATACAAAAAAGAAAGTATGTCTTCTCTTCTATGTGGATGCTAGCTTTTATGCTACAGCTATATGTGTTTCAATAGTCACAGAGGCTAGGTAGCTAATAAGGGATGGGAGTGGAGTGAAGGAGATCCAAGGAAGAAGAGTAGAGTGTAACAAAGATATAAAAGAGAAAATTAGAATAGGATTGGAAGGGAAATGAAAAATAAAGCAAAAAAAAAATGGATGGAGGGGGTGTAGCACTCATTTTTAAACTCTATTTTTTGGGGGGTTCCTTAAAGCCACTCCCTTCCAAAACCCCAACCCTAGATAAACGAGAGAAGGTTAGTGAGGAGAGGGGGCACAGACCTCTTTACTTCTCCCAGCAGTTTAGGATCAATGTTTTTTTTTTTTTCAGGGTTATACCAATTCTCCATCAAAAGCAAAAGCAGTCTCCTTCATCTCTCGCCACCAAGCCTTTGTACCACAAAGCATCTCTGGTCTCTCCAAACTGCAACTCACCACACTCCACCACTGTGTGTCACACATTCTCTTTCTCGGCTCTCATATTTATATCCTCAGAGCCATACACCCCGCCCCTCTCTGTGCCATAGTAAGGCAGGCTGTTACCAGCTGTCAAAGACCACATCCCACATGAGACAATTACCAGCTGTGGACAAACTAAAGCCCAAACTAAAATACCACACTTAGAATTAAAACAAAAAACATATTTACACAAATGCGTTGTAAAGAAACAAAAACTTCCATTACATGGGAGTAAGTAACATTTATGGCCTTTGAAAAAGCCATATGGAACCCTTGCACTGTAGAAGCTACATGAAACATATACATATATGAACTGAAGCTAAATGGAGTCACTATACAATTGGGGTGTTGTGTTGTATACAAGAATGTATACAATTTACCCTTGTTCATTCAAATGCTGGTTTCTCTACCCCACTATCTGGTTTCAATCTCGACATTACACTATGATGTTTATTCTAAGCATTACCTGTCTCAAGTTTGTGTAAGCATGCCACTATTTAGAACAAATGCATTGTCAATAAAACAACCAGACAATGCTGAGCAATGGAGTAGGGTGGACATCCTGGTCCAGAGGGGAGGAGAAAGAAGGAGGGGGAAGAGCCGGAGAGGAGAGATCAGCAGGACAGGACTTGGAACCATGAGGAGAGATGAACTGGACCTAATATATCACTAAAAGCAAGTATAATGGGTAAAATCTGAATGGGAGGAAACTATGTGGGCTTGGAGGTTTAAGATGGAATAACTATAGCCCAGCATTGTGCTCTAGGTTAATTAAATAAAGCCTAGTCTCTGTGTGGTGATTTGGGTATACAGCTGGTTTAGGAATAACCACTGTTTAACTAAAAGATAAATCAATAATAAATATTAATAATCAACAACATGGGGGAGACAAGGACTCGGCTATTCATTTATAGTAAGTAAATCCCCCAGTGCCATAATTAGCTTACAACTAATTGAGCTGCTAGACAAAAGGTTCACAGAGAGACACCACACACACACACACTGCCACCAAACATCATAAGATATTTCAACGTTATTGCTTACTTTCCATAATCTGATGGTAAGATCTCATTGCTGAAGGTGCAAATTCCTTATGCCAGCAAACACTGAGAGTTGGTACCCAACTAGAAACTTTACCCATACTGACTAGTGTTCATGGTGCTTGAAGTTACTTTGCACACTACAATAGTCATTAATTTCAGAAAAAAAGTACAAACAAGAGAAAAGTAATCATCAATTTCACAAAGCTACAAACCCTGAAACCTATAACAGAGACCAGCTTGTAAAATGTACCGGTGCAATACAGGACACAAATGTTATTATGGCAATATGAACCATATCCTGCTGGTATTGAAGACCAGTCCATGAGATAAAAGCCATGTATGACACTGCTGAAATGGTTAAGACCCTGAGACTAGACAGGTCATAGGCCTAGGAGAAATTCAGTTAAAGAACATAAAATTAAAAGATCCCTAGTGACAAACTGCTATACCCACAGATTTGAGCATCACTCATCCATCGTTAGAGACGCTTTTACTTGCAGTCAATGGTTAAGTAACAAAGAGATCCACAACTAAACAATGCGCAAAGAAAGAGTCAGACACTTGAGAGCCCTCAAACTCAAATGGGGGATCTTTATCAAACCCCTCCTTTCAAGGTTCAAAATTTATGAAGAGGAGTAGGCAGGACTGTAAAAGCCAGAGGTGGTGAATGACACCATATAAATAATGTCGTCCAAACACAACAGAATGAATACACATGTAAAATCACAGAGAAGGTGGTATCACCCACAAGACCCATAGAGGTTAAAAACAGACAAAATCCCAGCACTGAGAAGAAGTGAGCACAAAACTTCGATCCCTAACCAAGAAGCTGTTTGAAATTGGTATCTACTAGGAATGACAAGATCAATTTCCTCAAAGGAGTGCCAATGGGTATGTCAACCATAGTCCAGGGCGAGCCCATGCCCCAGCATTGCTGACTGACACAAAGCAGGCTCCATGATTTGTGTGTGTGCTCTTTGTTTTGTTTTGGCTTTGTTTTTTTGTTTGTTTGTTTGTTTGTTTGTTTTCAGTCTTAACTTAGAGTTTTTATTGTTTGCAGTTTTCTGTATTTGTTGGTTTTTTTGTTTTTGAGAAATAGATAAAGGATATATAAGTTGAATGGGTAGAGAGGTGGTGATAATCTGGAAATACTTGAAGAAGGAATATGATCACAGTATACAAAAAGATTTTTTTTAAATAAAATAAGCCCAAACCAATATGTCCTATGTTTTTCTTTTTATAATCATATTATAGTTTATATTTTATAGATAATTTATTTAGATATTAGTTATGTTAATATAGACATACGAGAGCAATAAAATATATCAGTATGCTAAATAAAATTATAACAAATCTTCATGTACAAGTTAGTTTACATGTATACTATATATCAAAAAACAAAACAAGGAAGAAGAGATAGCTGGCAATTAAGAACACTAGCTGTTCTTGCAGAGAACCAGAGTTTGATGCCCAGCACCTATATGGCAACTCACAACTACTCGTAACTCCAGTCTCAATATATACAACATACTCTTTGGTATCTATGGATTCTGCACTTATGTATACATAGACATACATGTAGGCAACACTCATATGGGTAAAATAAAAATGGGGGAGGGAAAATCCTACAACTGCCAGCATAAAATAATATTATGGAAAAAAAAAAAAAGTACCTTCTTCAAGGATGGGCCGTGGGATGACAAAAGGAATCTCCTGAAGAGGTTCCATGTACTTGTGACCAGCACTAATAATCTTTATTTGCGGCAAACAGAGGACAAGTGTTCCTGGTATGCTGGTTTGTCCATGGTACCAACTTCTTACTGTTCCAGGAATATCACCAGATACAATTGTACTGGGAGATGGCAGACTGTCATTTGGAATGAATACACAGCAAGACTGTACATCAAGCTAGAAAAGAAAAGCAGAATTAAGATATTTGGGTTAGATCAAACATGCATTTGAACTACTACTCATCTTCACCATAAAAAATGAAGTAAAAAATGGAAACATGCCCAGCATGTATCCTCATGAGTTATTGGATTTAAGAAATCTAAATGACAATTAAAAAGGATTGTTTCAAGCACACAGTGACATGAAATAAAAAATGCTGCTGCCCTTCACCAGTTGTTTCAAGAATTATGATGGGAGTTAGAAAATGTGCTGAGAAATAAGGAAAAACAAAAACATTCCTGCTTCTCAAGGTCATTAGATTTAGGTAGCAGCACACAGATAAGGCGGTAAACTTTTATTTTTCTTAATAATGCTATTTCTATGCCCATTTGGGGCCTGTATTTAAAAATTACGAACTGAAATACATGGACACAAACTTAAAATACTCAGTTCAAACCTCCAAGAATCATTAGAAGAATGTGTCTGGGTAATAAACCTTGTGTGTACACCCAAAGAGGCAAAATATATACGAATGTACATTTGTATAACACAGGGCAATAGGAAGTCTTAGAAATCAAAGTGTTTTGTCTCATTTTAGTCTTCAATTACATAAATTGTGATTATTACATAAAATTTAATTCTCCTTAAAGATTGAGAATAGTTAATTAACTCAACAGAGCCATAGAACATTAATACGCCCAAATGCATAAGTTTTTTTCTTTTTCTTTTAAATTCAGAACAAGTGAAGGTTAAGTTCTATTAGTCTTAGGTGACTCTTAAAAAACAATATTCAGTTCATCCTGTTTGCCCTTCTGAATGAGGGTTCAGCCTCTTTCCTAGGCTCCTCCTTGCTTAGCTTCTTTAGGAGTATAGATTTTAGTATGGTTATCATATATTACATGTCTAATATCCACTTATACGTGAGTATATGCCATGTGTGTTTTTCTGCTTCTGGGATACCTCACTCAAGATGATCTTTTCTAGTTCCCACCATTTGCCTAAAAGTTTCATGATTTCCTTATTTTTAATTGCTGAGTAGTATTCCATTGTATAAATATACCATAATTTCTGTATCCATTCCTCAGTTGAGGGACATCTGGGTTGTTTTCAGATTCTGGCTATTATGAAAAAAGCTGCTATGAACATGGTTGAGCAAATGTCCTTGTTGTACACTTGAGAATATTTTGGATATATGCCTAGGAGTGGTATAGCTGGATCTTGAGGTAGCACTATTCCTAATTTCCTGAGAAAGCACCAGATTGATTTTCAAAGTGGTTGTACAAGGTTACATTCCCACCAGAAATGGAGGGGGTTCCCCTTTCCCCACAACCTCTCCAGCATGCATCATCCCTTGAGTTTTTGATCTTAGCCATTCTGATGGGTGTGAGGTGAAATCTCTGGGTTGTTTTGGTATGCATTTCCTGATTGACTAGATGTTGAGCATTTCTTTTAAGTGTTTCTCTGCCATTCAATATTTCTCTGTTGTGAATTCTCCTAGAAGAACAGGACAGGAGCCTTCCACAGAGGACTTCTGAAAGACTATACCGAGGGTATCAAAGGAGATACTGAGACTCATAGCTAAAATTTGGGCAGAGTGCTAGAATCCTTATGGAAGAAGGGGGAGACAGAAAGACATGGAGGGGACAGGAACTCTGCAAGGAGAACAACAGAGACAAAATACCTGGGCCCAGGGGCACCTGCAGAGACCGATACTCCAAGCAAGGACCATGCATGGAGAGGACCTAGAACCCCTGTTCAAAGCAAGCCTACAGGCTGCCAGTTTCCAAGTGGGTTTCTTAGTAAGGCGTACAGGGGCTGTCTCGGACATGAACTCAGTGGCTGGGTCGTTGATCACATTCCCCCTGTGGGGTACAGCCATGCCAGGCCACAGAGGAAGATGATACTGCCAGCTTTGATGAGACCTCATAAGCTAGGATCAGATAGAAGGGGAGGAAATCCTCACCTATCAGGAGACTAGAGAAAGCACATAGGGGGAGAAAAGGGAGGGTGGGTAGAACTGGGAGGAGATGAGGGAGGGGGCTGCAGCAGGGATACAAAGTGAATAAATTGTAATAAATAAATAAAATTAATTAAACAAACAAACATACAAAACAATATCTAGCATGTGGTTTTAATAATTCCTCAAAGTCTTGGAAACTTGAATTGTTTTGTTAAGCAAATGTAAATTACAACTTATTAGTTTTCTATAAAAACTGTACAACAAATACGTGATTTGGAGGTATGATAAATCTTGCATTGCTTAACTAAGTTTAGGGATAGATAATTCAAGTGATTGTGTTAGCAAGAAGAATGTGCTTTGTAAAGGATAATGAAAGATGCAGTAATAGCCTTTCTTTCAGATAAATGTATTTCTAGAAAGAGCATGACATTCCACTCAGATTTCCTTGATAAAATAAATAATTCACTAACATGCAACATGGTTTGTATTGGTTTTACATTTCTGGATATAGACAACTACTGAATTCAGTGAAGAAAAATGGCACATAACCCAATGCAAAAAAAAATCCATATGATGTATCAACTGAATTATGTTAGTTCTAGAACCTTGCTTGCAGTGCTTGCAATTTAAGTTTGTAAGTATTAAAGACTTGATGATCAGATTAAGATCATAACATATTTCATTGAAAAATAACTCTACATAGTCTTATATGTATCATTAGTATGTTTTAAATATTTAACATAATGCATTAATGATGTTTAACTGTACAGTTTACAATGGCATAACCTAAGTGAGCATTCTTTCCTAATTCAGATCAAAGGACCAAAATATTAATAAATATTAACATTTCATATAGATATTGATGTTATGGTAAAATGGTCTCAACAATGTGAGGTCACTAGTTTAATATACGGAAACATGCAGAAACGTGACAATATACACAAAGTCAGTCTTAGAAATAAAATTTAATTGCACTCTATATCCAAAATCATAAAATACCACACACTAATAACTTAAAAATCAACTAGTTCATAGAACGGAAACAATGAATAATGCATATAGAAACAATAGTATATTTATATATGAGTTAGGTTAAAAACTCTACAAGATAAGCTTTCTAAAATAAGGTATTTGTGATGAAGGTTCCTTTAGTGAGTAGAATCTAAGCATACATACTAAAAATTGCTCAAAATTTTTACGGAGAAATATGTATTCTATACAGTGAGGCTATCACATGAAATCTTTTTTTATACTTTTAGAATAACTGTTAAACTGTATGTCTAAACTGTGCTTTAATGTAAAATGTTGAGTGATTTACATTACTGGTCATAAGTGTGCAGCTATAAATTCTGACAATCCGAGGGAAAGAAAATGAAGTAATCTGCCAGTAAGACATCCTAAATCCGGGGTCAGATTTTGCTCATGGAAACCACCTGGTTGGGACCCTCTGCGCCACACCAAACACAAATGATCTTTTAAAAAAATATCCTATTCATTAATGCACTGCAGCTGCACTGAGTGTTACTTCACTTTTCCATGGCAACATCCTTTCTGTTTCAAGGATCTTGTTTCAGTTTTGGTAGCAACAAGTTCTTTTGCCAACATTGAACACATTCATGGGTGAAAGTAAAGAAATTATTACAAATTCTTGAAGTAGAACAACCACTATTTCATTCATACTAGATCGAGAACTATGCATTTAAGGTTTCAGACTCAGAGGGTAAAACAATAAAGTAAAAAAAGTTTGGTATTCAGATTCTAACAAATGAAATAATTGCAATGTACACTTATTCTTAAATTTTAAGTTTATGTGCCACTGAAAAAGATCTATGCATGGTGTTCCCCAGATCTATAGGTGAAAATTCAAAATCATCAGCTTGTTCTTTTCTAAAGAGTGACAGAAAAACAGTGGGTCTGGATGGAAGGAGAAGCTGGGAGGGACTGGGAGTAGTAGAGGTAGGAAAACTGTAATCAGGATATATTGTATGAGAAAATAATCTATTTTTTTAAAAAAAAGGGAAGGAAGGAAGAGGGAAACCTTATTTTTGTGATTTATGTGCTGTATAAGTATGATGGCAACTCATTTAAAGAGAAGCATTTACACATTAACCTGAAAACTCTTAGCTAGTCCAGTGACTGGCCAGTCTTATGAAACACTTCATATGTAAATACTTCCTAATGCTGTGCTAGGTGCCTCTTAGTCCAAAATAAAATGTTCCCCTTGTTTGAACTAAAACTTTAGGAATAACTGATATCATGCAGTGGTAGAGAGACTCTCCAGGAGAGGAATGAATGAATGAATGGGTGGACAATATTTCATACAATTACCCAATATTACAACACTTTTAGCAGACCATAAACTATAAGGCAACACTATGCGTGTTGCACTTGCTCTACAATACTGAACACAGTTCCTAGTATTTACTAGGTATTCAATCATCAACAAATGATGATTTTTGCCACCAGGTATTAAAATTATGTCTTCACTTATGTTGTTGAGTTTTTCATTCTACAGGAAAAATTCTATTAGGTTAATTAATAAAATTGACTTATTGGTCAGATAAGCTCAAACAGAGTTGTAGTCCATGTGATAAGTCATTTTCCTCATGTAGGGGAAATATAATATTGATAGAAAGATGTATGCTAGTCAACTAAACATTTGCCTACCAAATAAATGGGCACTGGAAGTAGGAGAAAACAAGTAATAGGACAGGAGCCTACCACAGAGGGCCTCTGAAAGACTCTACCTAGCAGATACTAAGATTCATAACCAAACCTTGGGCAGAGTGCAGGGAATCATATGAAAGAAGGGAGAGTTAGTATGACGTGGAGAGGATAGGAGCTCCTCAAGGACCAAATATATCTGGGCAAAGGTATCTTACATGAAACTGTTTCTCCAACCAAGGACCATGTATGGATATAACCTAGAACCTCTGCTCGGATGTAGCCCGTGGTAGCTCAGTAACCAAGTGGGTTTCCCTAGTAAGGGGAACAGGGACTATTTCTGACATGAACTCAATGGCAGGATCTTTGACCTGCTAGTACCCCTGCTAGGCCA